GGCCGCCACACTCACTGGCATGGCCTCCCCGCCACTCGTGGTTTACAAATTATCTTCCATGCTTCACCAACACGAACTCAAGCGAACAATGACGTCATTTCCCCCTTCCCACAGCGAAAACCAGTTCACAGCTCAGAAGAGACTGTTTCTATGGAGAAACAGCAAGTAACAAGGAGGCACCCCCCCACCCCCCCCAAGTACACTGCTCGTGTTGTCTTCCTCAGGCGAGGAGAGGGGCTGTTTGAGCAAGGGAATTACATTCCTGGCTCACAGGTTTTGAATTTTGAGGAGAAACCCCACCATAAGGAAGAAATTCTTTACAATGAGGGTGGTGAAACACTGGAACAGGCTGCCCAGAGAGGTGGTGGAGGCCCCATCCCTGGAAGCATTCAAGGCCAGGTTGGACGGGGCTCTGAGCAGCCTGATCTAGTTAGCGCTGTCCCTGCTCACTGCGGGGGGGTTGGACTAGATGACCTCTAGGGGTCCCTTCCAACCCAAAACATTCTAGGATTCTATCTGCCATCAATGACTTCAAGTGTTGGGGCAGTCAGCTAGAGCACTGGAACAGGCTGCCTAGGGGGGTTGTGGAGTCTCCTTCTCTGGAGATATTCAAAGCCCGCCTGGGTGAAGTCCTGTGTAACATGCTCTAGGCGAACCTGCTTTAGCAGGAGGGTTGGACTAGATGATGTCCCAAGGTCCCTTCCAACCCTTGTCATTCTGTGATTCTGTGAAATCAAAAAGATTGAAGCACCCATAGAGGCACCAACAAATCCCTCCTCCTCCTCCCTCCCCGCCAGGCAGCAGTAAATCAAACCATATTTTAACCACACACCCACCGCAGCTCCGCAGCCTGAAGCCAGACTTTGACGGAGAGACCAGTGAACACATTCCCAGCCGTGAGAAACATTACAAGGCTCTCTGCTCCTGTAAGCATTTACAAACAGGACTGCGTGTCATCTCAGAAGTTCCTGCACTTTGGGAGGTCTACGTTACAGGGACTGAAAACACAAGCATTCAGGGATAAACGTCTTACATGGAAGTACACAAGGTGGTTTTTTGGCAGGGTCAAGGAAATTTGGATTATTCCTTCCAAAGAGGGACTTGATTTGACAGAACAGACACTTGATTTGACACAGAAACAAACCATGCAACTCCCCAAACTCCTGCTAGGTTCAAACCACTTGTTTTTTGCGCAGCTCTCAAAAGCCAACTCATGTACACACCAAAACTGTTTTTTAGAACAGATTATTTCATTTCTCTTACATAATTTCAATAATCTGTGAATAAATTCGAACAGCTGGAATACTATGGTAGCTTTAAAAAGAAATCCCTAACAGTGGTCCTTTCAAACGTGACCAACAGCAGTGTTTTGAGAGATAAACAGCTGAATCCAGTTCCAGAAGTCCCAAGACACTGGAGCATTCAAGGGCACAGTGCGGTCATAACAAATCATTCTCTGCCCCATCACTCTACTTCTGCGTTAGCTTCTTTGAGTAGTTCTTGGCAAATTGCTTACGTAATTCTTCCTGTCTCTTTCCAAGTTTAAGTGTGTTGATCAGGTTTAAGGTTTTTTTCAGTTCATGCACAGGCTTGCTTACAAAGCCGCAGTATTTCCTCTTCGGAACAAATTCCAGAGCCTTCTTCCAGTCTCCAGTATCTTTCAAGGTTAATAAAATATGCATCATTTGATCCAGTGTAAGATTTTTGGCACCAGCATTCCAAAGCAAGTACTTGTCCAGTGGAAGGGCCGCAGTCTCCAGCCCCAAGCGCTTTGCCCGTGCTAAAGAGACTCCTGTTTTTATGCTCTTGTCAACCATGGACCCCACGATATAGATTTTATCGTGATCGAATGTTTTCATTACCTTGGGAGAATCAGCGGTCAGATAGACAAGCTTATCCTTTGGAAAGACATCTGTGTAGCACTGGTCTGTCACAGTGATAAGCAGCTTGCCCCATGCCTCCCTATAATGCTTGATAAATTCCTTATGGTAGAGGCTGTTGTCTTTGAAGTTGCAGAAGTGGATGTGGAATGGATCCACAGACCTTCGATTGGAGCCTTCACTTAATACTATCTGCCTCACCGTGTTTGCAACTTCTCGGACGGTCATATCTTTTTCGTAAGACATGTCAAACACCAGAGGTTGGCCAAAGATCATAGACTGAGCAACGCGCCAACTGTATGCTCGATCCATACTGTTGGCCCACAAGCATACAAATGAATTCCTTTTGGTCTCATCAGTTTCTGAAGCTCGCTCTTGTGCTTCCAGCCTCCTCTCCCTCTTCTCATCCACCTTCCTTTTGTCATTTTTCTTGTAAAGTTCTTTGAGATACAAAAATTTTAAATACTTCTTTTTGGCTGACTTGGAGGGACATTCCATAAAGGTTTTTAGCTGTTCTTCACTGATATTTTCTGGGACTGATCTGCCAGCGAGTCTCCACATCTCCAAAACCTTACGTGCAGCAGCCAAAGTGGAAAGCTCCTTATGCTCAGAGACCGTCTCACTGACTTCTTCTTGCAACCCAGACTTCACTACCTTCTTCCACGCATCTAAATCTAGCTTTTCTGAGGGACTGCATGAATTGTCCTGCTTCAGGCAAAGTGACAAACTCAGAGTTCTACTGAGTGGAAACAAATTCTTTTTCATCCCATGTTGTGCAGCAAATGGAAGGATAGAACTTCTTACAATTTTTTTCAGAAGCACGTTAGCAGACTGCATACTTAGGCATGTGCTGTGTCCAAACACTTATCTGTAAAACACCAATAGGAGGGGAAAAAAAAACTTGTCAGAAATCATGAAGAAAATGCACACAGATTTTCATCCTCAGTAAGGCTGACAGACAGTAACTTACTTCTCAGAGAATACTAGAAATTCCTGCTCCCCCTATCACTTTTCTACTGTTTCCTAAATAAAAGCAGCGTACGTGGCACCGCTGTGAAGAGACGTGGTTAGCTCTGCTGCTTAAAACACCTATACTTACTGACATTCAAAATGTGGTCAAACAAGCATTCAAGTATTGTCTGAGATCTATTTAAATTATCTGTTATCATATGAAAAATAAGAACCTTCACAACCAAAGCAAGCAAAATGCTGCATGGAGACTGAAAATATTTTTATACACGTCCAGAGGTGCCTACTGAGAGGTGTATACTGTGAAAATGGACAAGATGCTTCATCTTGTAACGTTTTCTGGAAAAACTGTGTATCACAGAATATCATGTTTTTGCTTTTACCATTACATTTCGGGCAAGCTCTATTGACAAACTTTAGTACTAAAGTCCTTCCTCTTCTATGCATTTCCACACTGCAGGTCACTGCAACTACTGAAACTACCAATGCTATAGTTTTGCTAAGCCAGTGCTGCGGCCAATGAGGGCGCTCTCATGTCCCCTGAGCCCCTTGCTCCTGGCTCTGTTGGCAGCGTGAGCATTCACATGGCCACACTACCAGCCAAATCAGAGAACTGATCTTAGGGGCAGCTAACCAGGAGTTTGAGAGAAGGAAAAAAAGCTAGTTATCATCCCACCCAAATGAGCTTCCATGCCTGACTCACCAGACATCTCCTAGAAAGGAGATGGAAGAATAAACAACTAGTATAGGAAAAATACCTTTTCTTTTTGCGGAATTGCCTGTGAAGTTGATGTTGGCACATGAAGCTAAGGACATGAAACCCACAGTCCCATTAATTTCACACAGATTTGTATTTAAATGTCTGCAAAAAGAAAAAAAACAAAGAATGTTTATGCTTTCCCTGTCCTATGCAAACCTATTTAAGTAGAATCAGTGAAGTTTCACCATTTTAAAAAAAATTATTTGGCCGAAACATAAAAATTAGCTCCAAGTTTTAAAAGCAGAATTCATAATCTCCCTAATAACTTACCACCTGAAAATAATTTGCTATACAGAAGAGCAAGTTAAATCTAATGTCCAGGTTGTACATAAACACCTGCCCAGATAAAGAGCTACAGAAAGCAGCACATTATTAGGAAACATTATACAAACTGGCATGCATTTTATGATACTGCAATTGGTCAAATTGGTAACTGACCTTTCATTTTATACTGTTGTTAAAATGAAGAAAAAAACCCTAATTGAGTGAAGTTAAATTCGCATGTGTTACAATAGAGGTGTTCATCATTTTACATTTAAGCATTGAAGATACTGGAAAATGTAATAATCAAAAGTATGTCATCCAGCTTGGAGAAATCAGTGCATTAGTTCCTCGGTTAACTTACATTACTGAAGCACGAATTAAGTCAGCAGCTGAATGGCAGATTTACACAATCTGAACACTTGAGTACAGCTTTTCATAAAAGCAAGTTACCTTTCAGTGTGTCCAACATGCACACGACCACGGCTTTACTCTAAGAATTACTCTAAATCTCTCTGAACAACCTAGATTTGTAGGACTGAAAATATTTTTCTGATACTCTTCTTTTAGCAAGAATTCACTGTAACTAAACCCAGGCACAGAAAGGCCCTTCACTGATATTTCAGAGACCGAACAATTTGGTTACTTCCCCCGGCACGGATGCCTACACGCGATGTCGGCAGGCCTGACCCCCACACCGCCCCGCGGGGGTGCGGGGAGCGCGCCGGACCAGGGCAAGCATCACTACACGCTCCCTTTTACACCAGCCCACAATGGAACCGAACCGCGACAAACCAGACGACACCTCGAAGCACCACGCTGAGCCCCTCAGCCCTCCCGGGGACACCGGCGCGCCTCGCTCCCCCCTGCTGCGGCGGGGACCGGCGGGGGAGCGCAGCCTCCGGGGCACCGCGCCGCAGGCCC